TTCACATGAGACTTTGCCTCGTCCTGTGAGGCAATCACATAGAGAGCTGTGTCCTAAGAGCTGTGGACACTCCACACACTAAATTCAACCCACCCCATGGCAGGGGCAGGTTCTGCTCTCTTCACTGCTCCCCAGAGAGGGCACAGAGCTAGAAAGTGGCACAGCAGGAGTCCAAACTTGTTACCTCCAGCTCTCCAGCCTACACCCTCAACCACTCTCACCTGTCTCATGTGGAAAAAAAAAAGAGGAACCTTCTCTGAGTTTCCTGAGAACTCCCTCCATCAACCAACAAAACTCTCTCCTGGAGACATTTCTTTTCTAAAGGATTTTTAAAGATCCATAAGGATCCATAGATGAAAAGATCCTAATAGATCTTCCGCAGTGTCAAGTCTTTTAAGTCCTTGGTCTTTCAGAGCCTCTTCTGCACATAATCCCACCTCTTAGAGAAAATCCACTTTGCTCAGATTCCAAAGTGCTCTGAGGTAAAGAAGGTACTGTCCAGCCCCAGAGCAACCAGATGGGAGCCACAGGTCACAAGCTCAACCCACTTCACTGGATGCCCACCGATGTGCTTGTCTCATGTTTAAGGCAAGATGATGTCGGAGCGTGAGGGGAGCAAGGGACAGAGCCCAGGCAGCAGCTAGTGTTGGGCAGCCAAGGCAGGGCAGTGCACTGGATGCAGGACCCTGTTCTCCTTCTGCTGGACTCCAGATGCTAGAGCATCACTCCCCCCCCCCCCTTATTTGGAGGACAGGTCCAGGGCCCTTTGCAAAGAGCCTGGTGTGTCTGTGCCTTAGAACTCCACTTCTCTCCTGCCAAGGCAGGCTGTTCACAGGCCTACCCCACTTTCAGCCTGGGCTTTGGAGCACAGAGAGAGGATTTCACCAGGAAGCACGTGGCCCACTTAGTTTCAAGGCCTCTGAGACCCACCTGACTCTGCTCTGGTGGCTCCCAATAGCCTGGTGACTAGGGGCTGAGTCAGATGAATGGGAAGTGGGGCATCGGGTGGTAGCCAGGTGACTGCTGTTTCAGAATGATTGTGCCCGGGCACTGGGAACTGCTTCAAGTTGCCTGACAAAGGGAAATGCTTGAACCCTCACCTATCGTTTTGCTCTGGGCAAATATTTGGCCACTGGGGTCCTGTGGTGAACACAGAGTGACTCGCTCCTGCCTGGGTTGCCTTATCATCCCAGGGGTGGTGTTCTGTTTGCTCTTTGTACTCTAGCAGGTGGAGTGAGGGCACACAGCTTCCGGCCCCTGATTCACACAGAATCCCTGATTTCCAGAAGTAGGGCCATGAAGGCCTGCAAGCTGGAGCAGCCACGGTGCCAACTTGAGCCTCAACCCATGCCCCAGTCCACTTACCACTCCCCCATCCTCATTCCTTGCTGTTTTTATCGCCCCCCCACCCCTTCTATCCTGCTCGCTGCCAGACGTCTAACACCCTCACTGGCATTTCAGCATCTTGTGAGCTTGCAAAGTAGCATTTTTCATCCTGAAAAACCAGCTCTCAACCCTTCTTCCTCTAGTCCAGTGCTCCCTACTCACCTCATCCTGGCATCCTTGCAGTGAACCGCTCCTTGCTCTCTCTGGCTGGCAGCCCCCTGGGCGAATAACAACTTCCTCCCGGTGCTTGGGTGGTGCTGGGTCCAGTTCCAGAAACTTCCCATTCAGACTCATGGCTCAGTTCAATCCTACCATCCTGGGACCTGGGGAGACAGATGTGAATTATGGAGGTGCCAAGGCCCAAGAGGCTGAGGAGCGCAGAGACCTGGTCTGTAGGATGGTGGAGGTGCCCCTGGCTCTTGCACATGCCACATGATGCAGGTGCTATGTGCTATCACATGAACCTGGAAGAGAGATGGGGGCTTGGGGAGGGGGGTAACACATTTTCTTTTTCCTCGTTTCTTTCTTTTATTTATTTATTTTTGTTTTGGGGTCCATACCTAGTGGCACTTGGGGCTCACTCCTGGCTCTGCTCAGGGATCACTTCTGGTGGGGCTCAGGGGACCATATGCGGTGCTGGGGATTGGCTAGGCATTTGCTGTACTATGGCTCCATCCCCACATCTTCTGAGTAAAAAGCCACAGAACAGACCAAAAGTGGGGCTGACCAGGAAGCTTACTTCTGACCTGTTTCTGGGAGCACATGCTTGGGACTCTCGGGCCTCTGTGTGACTCCTGCACCTCCTTGTCTACCTTTGATTCTTCCCCAAGGCACTGAGGGAAGACCTGAGGTGAAAGTAAAATAAAATAACTCTGAGAGGGGCCGGGACATAGCATAGTGGTTAGAGGCAAAGCTAGCATGTGACCGACCAGGCTTTGACTCCTGGCACCGCACAGTCCCCTGGACATCCCCAGATAGCCCTGGAGGTCCCAGCACAGCAAGGTGGTCTAAGTAATCCTGGGTACCCCGGGACCCACATACTACCACATCCTCTCACCCTTGTTCTGAGCCACCAACCTGCCTGGATGAGACCTTTGGAGTGGCCCTGAGCCTCCTGAGCTCTTCTGGAGGCCACCTCTGAAGAGCAGATTAAAAATGAGAGCCAGAGAAATAGCACTAGGGGTAAGGCATTTGTCTTAAACAAGACCTGGGTTGTATCCCCAGCACTATATATGGTCCCCTGAACCCTACTAAGGTTGATCCCTGAGCAAAGAGGCAGGTGTAAGTCCTGAGCACTGTTGGGCATGGCCCGATAAACCTGTACTTCCTCCCCACAAAAAATCCTCTAAAGAATAGGATTCACATGTTAAACGAAATGAGTCAGAAAGAGAGGGGTAGACATAGAAAGATTGCATTCATCTGGGGAACATAAAGTAACAAAATAGGAGACTAACACCCAAAAATTGCCGAGATTAGTACCAGGAATTTTGCTCCATGGCTTGGAGGCCAGCCACACATGCTAGGGGAAAAGGAAGCTCAGATAGACAAGGGAGCACCAAATAAAGGGTGTTGGGAGGATCCTCCCAGGATGGGAGAAGCATGCTGAAAGTAGAGTACAGACCAAACATGATTGCCACTCAATGCCTCTTTTGTAAACCACAGCACCCAAAAGTAGAGAGAGAACAAAATGGGAATGCCCTGCCACAGAGGCAGGGTGGGATGGGGGGGGATGGGGGGTAGGAGGGATACTGGGATCCGTGGTGGTGGAAAATGGGCACTGGTGGAGGGATGGGTATTTGATCATTGTATAATTGAGACCCAAGCACAAAATTTGTAAGTCTATAACTGTACCTCATGGTGTCTCACTAATAAAAATTTAAAAAAAGAAAAGAAAAAAGAATAGGATTCAAGGGACACTTCTTAGAATTCACCGTTTCCAGTTACCACCTGTGCATTAATTTACTTACACTGTATTTGGTCATTAGTTCTTTTCCCCAATAATGACATCACTTGTATGAGGAGTAACAACCATGCCATTATCCATTCCCTTCACCCCCGCCTGCCCACCCGCGCAGCTTGAGTTCCAGACATGCTCTGGACCCTCATCTCCATACTGAGCCCTCCCCTCGCCTCAGTTGGAAGAACGAGAGCAGGTGCCTGCACAGAGGAAATGACTGAGGCTTTTGTTTTCTCCCCTGTAGTATCCATATTCCTCAAAGTCAGACATACTAACCTCGCCCAAGCCCCAAAAGCCCACAGGGACCCACATGGGGCTTCATAGCACATGTCCCCTGCACCTGATCCCAAGCTGTATCCTCGGGACTAGGTTCACACCACTCGTTTCCCAGCGCTTCTCACCAGAGACCTGAAGGCCAGCATGTTCTCTCCTGGGCCTTGAGAGGGTACCCCACAGCCAGCATCAGCCCTATCCCAGGGAGATTGTCCCCACTACATTCCCTGGCAGGGTACTTTCATTTGGTCACAAGTCATGGCTCCCTGAGTGGTGCTGAGTATGGCAGAGAAGTGTGGTACAGGTAAAGTACCCCTGTGGTACTTTACACTGATCACCGGGGTAGCAGAATGGGTGAATGAAAGTCCACGCACAGCCAAAGGATTAGACACCTAATGGAATGCACCCGAGCTTGCAGGAGTGCGGTAGAGGGTTCTTGGGAGAGTGGGGGTCTCAGGCTTGGGTTTCCCTCTTCTCCAGACCCCATTCCTGCCTGTGAGGTCCCAGTTCTGCTCAGCTGTCAGCACACTCCCATCCCTTTGTCCTGCCCAGTTTGGAAAAGCCAAGGGACTCATTTGATCTCCAAGGCCACTTCGGGGAACATGGGTGCATCCCATTAGGTGTCTAATCCTCTGGTCCTGCATGGACTTTTATTCGCCCATTCTGCTCCCCGCTGTGGACGGTGTAAAGTGCTCTGGCAGGACCCTCGGGCAAGCTCCAAGGTGTCCCTGGCATAAGCTTCTGGTCAGAATTGCCTGTTTCTGATTCATTCTGCCAAGTGGTAACTCCTGATTCTCATGTGCACGGAGTCTTCTACCCAACCCTGAATCTCTGCTCATCATGGTCAGCCTCAAGGTTCAACAGCAGTGCAGGAAGATGGGGTCACACCAACGGGGCTCATAGGATGGTGAGGGCAGCCCGTGCTTCATCCCCAGATGCCCACAGGGAACTGCCAGCACCACAGCTCCTGGGGACATCTAGCGGCAAAGCCCTTGGGATTGTGTCCAGAGCCTCTAGCACATGTGTCATCTCGGTGGGACACAGTAAATGAGGCTGGAATTGATTTCCTAGAACTAAGAGGCACAAAGCCCCAGCTTTTCCACTGGGATGGGGTCATGCTCCCTGGCATGAGGCCCCCACTGTCTGTCTTTATGCAAGTCTAAAAACACAGAGTATACATACGCTGCAAATAGGGTTTGAGGTATCTTTTGTATAGTGAGGAGCCTGTTTCATATACTCTGAGAATGCCATCGCCTGCAATCAGAGGATTGGCCAGACTGAGACTGGAGATGCAGGCGGAGCCTAGGGCGGGGCGGGGGGTGTCACTGCAACGCCCACAGACGCTCTCTCTGCACGCTCATCTGGAGTTTCCCTCCCTCTACAGGTGTTCGGGGGCCTAGTGTGGATCCTGATCGCCTCAGCCCTGGTGGCCATCCCACTGGTGCAGGGCTGGGTGATGTTCGTGTCTGTCTTCTGCTTCGTGGCCACCACAGCATTGATGGTTCTGTATATAATGGGTGCCCATGGTGGGGAGACATCCTGGATCACCCTGGTGAGTTTCAACCCAAGACGTTGGGGTTTTGGGAGGTGGTATCGAGCCTCCTCCCATATGGCCCATGCCTGCTGGGTACCTGTGGGTGGCCCCCTATCCAGGGCCTGGTCCTCTGTCTCAGACCTAGCATGCCCAGCATGAGGCCCCCTCCCCACCATGCTTGCTTTCTTTGTTTTGTTTTTTAAGCCATACCACACTGTGCTCAGGGCTTCCTCTGGCTCTATGCTCAGGGATCACTCCTAGCAGGCTCGACAGACCATATGGGGTGTCAGGGATTGAATCTGGGTCAGCTGTGTGCAAGCCCTACCTGCTGTGCTATCGTTCTGTGATGCCCCCCCTTTAAGCCCCTCACCCATACACACAGTGGATCAGTGTCTCAGGGCGAGCGGAGGAGCCACCCATGGTCTCCATCCTGCCTAGATTGGTTTTGAGGCCCATGCAGAAGGCCCTGCTTACTCAGTACTCAGGGGACCTGGCCTGCTGCTGTAGTGGGTTGGACACTCACTCTTAAAAGACCTTCCACTGAGGAGCAAAGTAGCAACCACACCAGATTCCATTTCAGCACTTGTCAATATTAAGTAGATCAGGATTCCCTCTCCCTCCTCTCAAAGACAAACCAGTCAGCAGGTCAGCACCCCATGGGACTGGCCTGGGCCACTCACCTACACTGGCCACTAGTCACAGGGCCTCTTCTGAGCCAGGTCCCTGAGAACACTCACCATGGCTCAGGCCAGAACTGACTCTCCTCAGGGAATCCCAAGCTGTAAGCCTCCTCCTGCCCCCACGATAAAGTGGGTCCCTTCTCCTTCAGAGTCCTTACTCTAGACCCCAAGCCAGTCAGGTGCAGCAAATGGGTTCAACAGGCTCTGTGGGAAGAGGGGCTGAGGGCATGAGAGGAAATGGCCGTGTGAAGAGAGAGACCTAAGTCAGGCAGGCAAGGACCGGGGTGTGATAGGCCCTTTGTGGCTCCTGTCTGCCACCCCCCAGCTCTCTGACTGATGTCCCTTTCTGACCCTGCAGGACGCGGCCTACCACTGCACGGCCTCCCTGTTTTACCTCAGCGCCTCCGTCCTCGAAGCCCTGGCCACCATCTCCATGTATGAAGGCTTCACCTATAAGCAATACCACGAGAACATCTCTGCCGTGGTGAGTGTCTGTCCGTGCCACACACCTCTGCCACCACATAGGCTCTGGGGTGTTCATCCCAATGTCCACTTCCCTCCACCGTTGTTTGCAGGGGCCGCTCCCGGCCACCCCTCTCCCCACCGTTGGTAAGTTCTGTTGGAACCAGGGACCAGGTTCTGGAACCAGGGCAGGGAAGCACGGAGACCCCGAGGGAAAATGAACCCCCAGTGTCTCATCACCCCTGCTGTGGAACTGGAGCTGGGAGAGGCCCCTCAGGGTCCCGTGTGGCCAGGCCCTCAGCTCCAGGTGTTTGCCACTGTATCAGCCTTCCAGTCCACGACTCCAAACCAGCAACTCTGAGAACCTGTGTGCAGAGGACACGGGGCTCGTCTCTCCTCAAATCCCTGTGTTAGGATCTCGGCTGGCCTGTCTCTGAAATGCACTAGTGGTTCCTGACCATTTCCTCAGGACTAGAGAGATAGTCAGTAACTTCTTCACCCTGTGATGAGCAAGGCGGAAAACGGGCTTGAACCTCATTTACTTCATTAGCACAACTGATGAAGATTCTGACTGTGTGTGGATGAGGGACTCTCTCCAGGTGGGTCCCTGATGGCTGAAGGGCTCTGAGCAGTTCTCAGGGGCAGGGTTTCAGGTCACCCCCCTGGAGGCTCTTTTTACAGGAATGGATTCAAATGAAAGGGAGTAAGAAAGTCTCATTTCCTAAACCTTTTTTCGAGTGGGGCTTGTGACTTTGATCACCAGGATACTAACCCACCACCTCAAATGTCTCCAGGGATTTTCAGATAACCAAGCTAGTAGTTTAACACAAGGACTACAGGTACTTTGCTGCTCAGGGCCTTTGATGCTTGGGATTACCTGGGTGACCCCAGCAGTGGTCAGGGGCCTCAAGGGCAGAATCCCGACATGCATGAGCGACCTATAGTCATGGGGATAGAAATGAGGTCACCTGCCTGCAAGACCTGTGCCTTAAACCTAGTAGAATCTCTCCAGCCTCTCAAATGTATTTTTCTTGAGGGGGAGGAGATAGGGGGAGGGGCTGGACATGGGAGAGTATTGGGGCACACCCAGTGGTGCTCAGGATTTACTCCTGGCTCTGCACTCAAGAGTAAGTACCCTGGCACTGCTCAGAGGACCCTTCGTGGTGCTATCTCTCTGGTTGTCCCATTCAGATTTGAGGTTTGCATGAGTGGGAAGTGTGCCTCCTCTTGTCTGGCTTCTCCCTGTCTTTTGTCCATGAGGCTCAGCCTCACTGTGGGTGTCAATGCAGAGTCTGGGTGCCTCTCTACAGTGGCACCCTGGTGCCCAGGCAGACATATGCCTCTCCAGTCCACATTTAAGTGTGCCCCATCTTTTTTACTTGGTCAAATGTGGGCAGCTTGAGCATGCCCAGGCAAAGTCAAGAATGCAAGATTCAGAATCGAAGATTCTCTGCAGCACTGCACACAGGGCTGAAACCACTGAGGTGAACTAGGAACCGCTGCCATGTAGAGTCACACCTTTCTGTTCCATATGTCGATTGGATTGTAGGGGCATTGATTCCTCAGGGTCAAACCCCATCCCAAAAACAGTGCCAACAGGTCTTTCAAGTGACCTAGGGTTGACAGCGCCTGCTGGCCCATGCACCTAGTCTGCCTTCCACCCTCTTCTCTGACTCCTCATCGGGTCATGCCTCAAGAACCAAACCTTCCACCATAGTTGGTAGGCAGCGCAACCTCCTTACCAAAGGGATGTCTGGGCTTGGTGGGAGTTGACTGTGGTGAGCAGTGGCTTAAGGAGAGGGGTTTCTGAAATCCCTTCTTGGTCCTGAGTCTCAGTGTCCCCTATGTGCCATTTCTCAGCGTCACGGCTTGGTAAAGCCGTCTCTGTCCCTGTTCCAGCGGGGAACGCCTGGGGTGCCTCTGCAGAGCGGTCAGATTGGGTCTGGAATTCCCCAGCAGAGGGGCAGAGATGTTTGGGGCCCTGCTCACTCAGGGATGACGGCTTCTGGCCAGCTGGGATACAAAAGACTTCCCAGATGAGTTCCCGGATGAGTTCCCATGAATTTGTTATTAAGTAACTTGACTTGCTCCTCGCCTCTGGCCAGTGAGGGAGGAGGGTGATTGCAGGTGTGGGTAGTGGAGGGGTGGGGGTTGGTGTTTACCAGCATTTTCCAAAGTCACAGGCGCATAGCTGCCCCACAGTCATGCCTGGGTAGGAAACGCTTGAACACACACCCAAGGTCACAACAGCAGGTGCAGATGTTTGAGCGGAAGAAAGGGGGCAGAGAAGCCTGGAGGGAGGACGGCCACCCAGGGAAGGATGACAGGAATGCACAGTGCCCAACGACAGCCACCCCAGTCCGGGGCTTGGGCAGCCACAAAGGGGACATTGCTGCCTCTCCCTTACCCCACAGAGCCAATATGGCTGACAAGCCCTTCCCAGAGGCTTTCTCAGCATCTCCCTCCTCTCTGCAGAGCTCCACAGGGGGGCTGCAGCGATAGCACAGTGGGTAGGGCATGTTGGCCTTGCACACGGCCGACCCAGGTTCTATTCCCAGCATCCCATATGGTCCCCCAAGCACCCCCAGGAGCAATTCCTGAGTGCATGAGCCGGAAGTCACCCCTGAGTATTGCTGGCTGTGACCCAAAAAAAAGCAAAAAAAAAAAAAAAGAGCTCCACAGGGCCCCTCCCTTCTTGTCCCCATCCCTCGTTTTCTGTGAGCCCAGGTCGCAAGACCCCCACATGGGAGAGAAGAGTGTAAGAATAAGATGCTGGCAGGACCTGGGGCTCTGTGCGGGCAGCATCGAGGCCTCTAGAGCCAGCCAGCATGTAAACAAGTGGCCACCCTCTTTGAGTCCACCGGGACAGTGGCTGATGAGAGCGGGTGTGATGGGATAACAGTTGAGACCGGTCTGCACATACCATGTGAGGGTCTTCTCAGGGCCCTGTTTCTCTACATGCAGCTGAGGGATGGCAGCGCTGACCTGGTGTCAGGAGAGAGCTGTGTCCCCGGCACTCCTGGCAGGAGAGGGTGGGTGCGCAGTGCCAGGAAGGAGGTAGGTGCACTCTCCTTCCTGCTAACCTCCCAGTGACATGCGTTCATGGTCCTTTCTCCTGGTTCCAGGTCTTCTCCTATGTGGTCACCCTGCTTTACGTGGTGCACGCGGTGTTCTCTCTGATCCGATGGAAGTCTTCCTAAGGCAGCCACAGAACCCTCCGGAGAGTCCGTGGCATTGACTGGCTGCCTTCCAGCATAGCCTTTGAGAATGCAGGGGTGCTCCCCAAGGCAGCGAAAAGAAAGACACACAAAACCAACAACCCCAGCCGACAGCAGCAGCAGTTCCCTGGCTCTCCCCTCCTCTCCCACTTCCTTCATGTCGGGGTTTCACCTCAGCCCCGAAGATCTCTTCCCAGGGTCCTTTCCTGGTGTGAAGGTGGCAGGGCTGGGAGGAGGACTGTGACTAGAGACACCTCCAGAGACCCCCTGATGACTCCCAGACCAGACCCTGAGAGCCCTCCTCTGGAATCTCCCAAGGGCTCTTCTGAAACACATTCCTACTTGTGGGTGTTTCTCCATCTTCGTGGACATGCTCCATGTCACAGGCAGAGCATTTCACCCATCAAATCTTTGCAAGGATCCCTGGTGAGAGATGACCCACGTTTGAAATACTTTATAAAGCATCTTTATGTTCAACAATTTTGTGGGGTGTTTATTCTTGGTGGGGGGGTTGGTCCCCAATCTCAAGAATGCCATCATTTCCATTTTCTTTCTGAGGAATCGCTTGGCCTGAATGGAATCTCTAGAGGCCACCATGCCAGGGCTGTTCCTTGTGTAGTTGTGAGTGTTGCCCCCCACAAGCCCCCAGTCACCCCTCAGGAGAGCTCAGTGTGGAGCCTCATTACTGAACTACTTGGGACATCTTCCCTGAGAGCTGCACCCTCTCTGAAGACTCACGAAGGGTCAGCATGGGCTTTCTTTTTTCCCTATAAGAAAATGGAAGTTCTGGGCTCCATTAGAAAATGCTTTAGTGGGGCTGGAGCAATTGCACAACAGGTAGAGCGTTTGCCTTGCATGCAGCTGACCCGGGTTTGATTCCCAGCATCCCATATGGTCCCCTGAGCACTGCCAGGAGTAATCCCTGAGTGCATGAGCCAGGAGTAACCCCTGTGCATCACTGGGTATGACCCAAAAAGCCAAATAAATAAATAAATAAATAAAATGCTTTAGACCTATAAAATTCTGGGGACAAAGTTTCTTCTGTGGCACAGAGAAGAAATATCTGGGAAGTGTGTGTTCTCCATTCCAGTCAGGGCTGGAGTGAGGACACTGTTCTCAGAATCTCCCTGGGTGTCTCTGTAGGAGAGAAAGGGGACATGAAGTGGGAAGAGTAGGGAGCATGAAATGGGAAGAGTGGTGAGGAATGCCGTGCTTTCATTGTCAGGTGTCTGGATGGAAAAGCACCTTGAGAAAGGAGGGAGGCCGCATCCATTCTTTGCTCAGAGATGTTTCTCATCTTCCTGAGGTGGCAGGCTGGGAGCAGCGCCTCACAAAGTGGTGGCCCAGCTGGGGATGAACGGCTGAGGCACAGGAAGACGAGACAGGCAGCTGGGGATACTTCACTGCCATTTTCCTTTACTTCCATCCCAGGACTTAATTGGTCTTTGCTACTCCAGGGTACAACTCCTTTAAAGCAAGCCCACATAGAAGAAAAGGCCTCGTCACTAGGGGGTCGGGAATGTGTCTCAAGCGTGTGTTCAGTCCTGGGCACAGCGCGTAGGCCTGGTGATCCTTGAGCACCAAGGGGTGTGGCCCCCATGACAACATTTTAAAATAATGACTTTGGGACCAGAGCAATAATACAGCAGTAGGGTGCTTGCCTTGCTTGTGCCTGATCTGGATTGTATCCCCAATACCCCATATGGTCCCCCAGGCCTCACCAGGAGTGAGCCCTGAGCACAGAGCCAGGAGTGAGCCCTGAGCATCACTGAGTGTGGCCTCCCTCCCAAAAAATAAGAGTTAAAGTTAGAATAATGACTTCATAATAAATGAGGAATAAAAATTTGGGGGGTTTATCTAGAAAAGTTCATTTTTCTAAAGTTAGAAAGTTTAATATTCTAATGTTGACTTTTTTAAAACTTTGAGCAATTTTTCTTAAACATATGGCATACATAGTTGTAGCACATAGTAATTAACAGTTTTTTTTAATACATCCTTTATTAAAATTTTTTTCAGAGGTGACAATTTGGCCAATAATTATTTCTTTTTTTATATAAAGGGCTGGAGCGATAGCACAGCGGGTAGGGCGTTTGCCTTGTACAGCTTACACGGCCAACCCGAGTTCGATTCCTCTGCCCGGCAAGCTACCAAGAGAGTATCTCGCCCGCATGGCAAAGCCTGGCAAGCTACCAATGACCTATTCGATATGTCAAACACAGTAACAATAAAGTCTCACGATGGAGAAGTTACTGGGCCCGCTTGAGAAAGATCAATGAACGGGAGGACAGTGACAGTGATATAAAGGGCTGGAGCAATAGCACAGGGGTTGGGCGTTTGCCTTGCGTGCAGCCAGGTTCGATTCCTCTGCCCCTCTCGTAGAGCCTGGCAAGCTACCGAGAGTATCTCGCCCATGCAGCAATGCCAAACACAGTAACAAGTCTCAAAATGGAGATGTTACTGGGCTCACTGGAGCAAATCGATGAACAACTGGGAGAACAGTGTTTGTTGTTTGTTTGTTTGTTATGTAAATTTATTGATTGAATCACCGTGAGAGCAGTTACAAAGCTTTCGGGTTTAAGTCTCAGTAATACAATGATGAAACACCCGTCCCTTCACCAGTGCACGTTTTCCACCACCAATAATGTTAACATTTTTTAAATGTTAAAAAGTTTGTCACATGTTTAACAAAATTTTGTAATCAAGTGTTGATTTTTCTTTTCCCCAACAAAATGCCTGACAGCAGTCACAATATGGTATAACAGACACATGCTGCTTTTTTTCTTTTTAACCCCACCAAGGAAAATAAAGAAGGTTTAATTGAGATTGTCAAGGAATTCTCAGCAATTCAATACTTTAATCATTTTTCTTAAAAAAAAAAACAAAAACTTTGTTGAGGAATCTGAGGGGCCGGTATTTAGTCTTGGTTTTTGTGTTTGGGGAGTTTGTTTTGTTGGTTTTTAAGCCACACCCAACTGTCTTCAGGGTTACTCCTGACTCTGTGCTCAGGGATTACTCCTGGCAGAATTCCATGTCACATACAATTTAGCACCTTACGCCTGTATTATTGCAACCTCACAGCCCCTCTTAAAAGAAACTTTGATATGATATTTCTCTAATTTCTCTTTTTTGGTTGCAAACTGACTTAATAAAACCCAATTTGGGGAGTTTTTCAAAGCTTCCTTTTAATTTGGGGGCCACCCACCCCTGTTCTTGGATTGCAGGCCAAAGTCCTATTTGGGAGGGTAGCTTCCCAGCCCCCTTTCAAAGGCTTCGAAGATGGTCTCTGATATGACCTTGTCCTTCCCCTCTCCTGGGACATTCTGAATGCCGGGCCACTCACAGGGCATCAGGACTAGCATCATTGATGGCCAGGGTTCATGGGAGACATCCTATAGTGCCCTCCCTGATCTTGCTTTTCCTTTCCACTCTTCCCGCTGTACCTCCCTATCTACCTCAGCTTGTTGGCTTCCGGGCTAGTACATCTCATAGCTCAGCTCTGTCTACGTCCAGCCAGCTAAAAAGTGTTTGCAGGTCCAAGTGCTGGCGGACAGGCACATCTTCCTGTGGCAGCGACGCTGCTCGGGAAAAGCCACCACGCCTGGAATGGGGGCACTTCAGAAGCCTGCTGGGCAGTAAAGAGCGGGGCTCAAACCACCTCGAGTGGCTTCTCCTGAGTCCTGCTGGCTGCTGACCACACCGCTCCTGCCTCTGGCTCTCAGACAGGAAACAGCTTCTGCTGGGGCATCCCTTAGTGCCACCCCAAGGGCTGGTGGGACATACCCTTAGCTGTTGCCTACCTGACTTGTACCAAAAGTCAGGTAGCAACAACGCCTAGACTTGACTACCCAAAAGGCTTGACTTGGTGCCTGTGTCACCATCTTGCTGCCGTTTTTGGAAGCTCGTGCCATGGGAGCTAGCCACTGCCATCGTTCTGCAGGGGACAAACAGATTTACTTGGCTCATGAACGTGGAAGCTGGATCCCCATGACACTTCTGGCACTCACGTGTTGCCCTCAGGTGAGGTCTGGCCAGAAATGATGGCGAGTGCTTGTAGAGGCCAGCGGTCAGGCATTGGGACAGCCCCGAGCACCAGGAGGGTTTGCCCTAGAACTGGGAGCCTGGAGTTGCAGAGCCATGACAGGGCCAGTTCAGGCAGCACCTGGGTCCCTGCTGGGTCCCTCACAGCAGCCCTCACAAGGCCCAAGGCCCACCCTGCGCAGCTGCTGCTTCTCAGGAAGCTGAAACACTGTCTCAGTCTCTGCAGGGGTGCAGAGAGGATTGAGGAGCTGCTGCTAGGATGCAGCAGGAGTTTGAGCGCATAGTAAAGATCTCACACCCCAAACCACTGCTCCCCACCCAGCTGCCTGCCTACTTCCTTCATGTGAGGCTTCAGATGGGAGCTCTGAGCTCATGAACAAAGCATCCCCTCCCCCATTGCAGCTGTGAGTGGACACCTCCGAGCAAACTGAGCCCAGCCAGCCAGCTCAGGAGGGGCCGAGGTCCCTGGGATCAGTGAACATGAGCCGCACGAGTGACATGGGGGGCTTAGGGCAGGCCCCTCGGGACAGCCAGCCATGAGACTTCTGCGTGGGGCGTGTAGCAGACGGGCATTGGGACAGCATTTGGGGTATGCGACAAAGGAAGGGACAATGAGTCTGCTCCTCCTCCCGGCTTCCTGCTTTCCTCCCCTGCTCTTGCAACTTCCACCTCAAACACTGACCAAGGGCGAGAGCCCCATGAGGGCCCAGCAGCCCCTGCAGGCAGCTGTGACCACCGGGACATCTTGTGGCTGCAGTGCCCACGTTACCTGTGCCTTGGGGGGTCCCAGGGGCATCTCCTGGTAGGTGTTTGGACTGGGGGTGTAGATGGCACTGTGTCTATATGAATTGCCCCAAATGGCCAAGTCCCTGAGGGAACTGAGTTTTCCCCCATGTTTCAAAACTGAATTTTTTCTTTTTTTGCTGAAACATGATTGGAAGTGGAAGGTATCATGTTGAATGAAATAAACCAGAAGAAGAAAGACAAACACACGATGATCTCACTTATCTATGGAAAATAGAAAT